CTGAACCATTAATTGTGTCTCTGAACCAATCCTCATCAGGATGAAATAGTTCAAATATTTTCCTAGCATGGTTCACGAGCTTTATGATACGCCATTCCTTGCCCTCCCAAATATGTCAGGCGACATGTTCATTATAACATGTAAAAAGAGAGATGTCATAGGTCCCTCCCGGATACCCCAAGTTTGGCTCAATCACTACACCTGATGTATCATCCTCTTCTGGTTCCTGTGCCCGAACAACCTCCTCCACCTCTGGTGCCTGCTCATAATCCTGAGACGAGGACTCGTGAGATAACCAACTCCTTGGAGATGAAGTGGATCCTCCAGCTATATCCTCCTACATAATGCGTCCTCATCCTCGAGTTCTAGTAGACTGTAATGCTCTCTCGCACCGAGCCGAGGCTGTTTGAGTAGGTCTACCAAGTCTCGTTCTATTTGGAATATCAGTCATTAACCTAGAACAATAGCAACTAATCAATGAAGGTGCAATATGGGATAAATATTTTAAAAAAAACAGTACATGCCTAAATTCGGATGTGCATATATGAAACATCTTAGAGGGGATTTCAGATATGCACATCTGAAAATCCATGCGAACTGCCATTTTTGAGCAATTGCGTTTTCTTTCCCTAACTGCTCCAAAAACTTCAAATACACACCCAAACAACCATATTTTCCAAATTAAACTTCGAACTACTAAATTTAAATCATTTAAGTAACATTTTTTGCAATTGCAAAGTATAACAAAATATTCAGATTCAGAGAAGCTTACACAAATTGAGAGTTTTGAAGTGTTGAAGTGTTGTTAAAATGGGTTGACAATGTAACTTGCTTTCGAACTTTGTTGCTCAAACATTGCTCAAAAAATATTTAGAAAAGAGAGATTCGGAATAGAGATAGTGAGAATGGAGAAAGATGTAAAATGAGTTTCTGTTTATGTGTATAACTGGGGAGATTCGGTTATGCATATTTGGATCAGCCGCATTAAAAAAATTAAAGGGTTGATTCAGATATGCATATCCAAATCAGCCACGTTTAAAAAATTAAAGGATTGATTCAGATATGCATATCTGAATCACCTTTTATTTTATTTAAAAGATTATTTCAGATATACATATTCGAAACAACCCTTCAAAATATGAAATGTGGTTTGTTGGGATATACATATCCAAAACTTAAATGCATTTGAAGAATTTCGCTAAAGACCTATAAAAAGTGTAAGGATGCATAAAGATATTTCCCTCCCAATATTGAGTTGTTGTCCATCTATTCATAATGGTGCAAATTCGTGTTTTGTACTAGTACATGAACCACCTGTCTTGCGTGTGCCACTGGGTCATGTAATTTGTTGGGGAGAATTGGTTTGATTTTATTTTAAAGAGTGACATTATTTACTACTGTACAAAACCATTTTGCAAGATATATTAGACTGAATTTGCGTAGATATTTTTTTTGAGAGCTCTATAATTTGTTTGTTAGAACCAACATTATTTGCGAGAGGTACTAAAGTTATATGAGGATGACAAAAAACTAACATTCTATGGAAGTAGAATAAATGATTGTTCTTTGAAAATCCTAAAAGAGGGAATTGTTATTCCAAATAGCCATGAAGAGGAGATTAATCAAAATCGTTTAGATTACAGTCAATGTCAGTTACTATTTTTTATTTGCGACGAAATAATTAACATCAAACAAACTCCAGTGTAGATTAGGGTTTTCCAATTTCATTTATGCACTTTCACTCCAAACTCTAGAAAACTTCAGTGTAGATTACTCCACATAAAATTGTTGTCACATATACTAATTTGAAGTCCAAATTCACCGTTCAATAATGATGGTCCAATTAAAATCAGAAATTTACGGCGACTTATCAATTTGAGGATTAATCTCATCATCCACTAAAAAAATTCCTATTAGAGCTATAAAAAATATGTATGGCTTGATCCAACAACGTAAACATTGTTGTCATTTAGAAGAAAAAAAATCACACTCTTATATATCAAGCCTTCACCACCAAATCAACCCCTTTTTCTTTTATCATTTCCACGAAATTCATCTACCTGTTTTTCATTCATTAAAGTGAAAACATTCAAATTCTTTTCCGAGTCTAGGATTTAGGCCAAGATGTACCATAAATGTTTTCGAGTCCAGGGTTTAGGCCATAATGAACAAATAGTGCACGAGCCATCTTTCACAGAGTAGCATTTATGACTTCTCAATCTCTACCTGAGTAACAACATCATAGGCGTAAAGCAAACACAACAAGTAAAATTCTAATTAATTTCTACTATTCTCTAACACTATCACAATTACCCATAATTAGCAAATAATCATATACCACATATTATCACCAAAATAATTAATTAAAATTATATTAAATCAATCAATTAATTAACTAAAAACAACAAAAAATTAATTAAATAACTTAATCGAATTCGGGATGTTACAAAAGGTGTGGTTCGATTTAGTTTTACTGGGCCCCACGGTGGATGCCACTCTACTGCCCAAAAAAGTACAGGTGCGTGTGTATTCCCTCTATAAAGTCATGGAGACTCAGAGACCCTAATAGGTATATTACATGTTTGATGATGAGGGCTAGCTCATGGCAACGAGTTCACCTGTATGGTAGTTTTTGAGGCTATTTAAGAGACTGACTCATGTTAGGTGAGAGGTTCTTCTAGTGGTTTGTGTTGCTGGGTTACAGGCAGGAAATTGGAATGATGTTGTTAGGGTTATCTAGAGTAGAGTGGTCTCTGAGCAGTGTTTGAATATGAGTAAGTTTGTGTTACTTGGGTTTTTTATCCCCTTAAGGAATAATGTATTTATAGGAGTTTCTGATCCCTAGGGTTTTCTTGGGAAAGGTCTTCGTCCACCTAGTTATTATACGCCAATTTTCACCCCTAAGATCTCTCATCATCTCATATTATCAATACATCAAAATCACACATTAGGATTGGTTCTCCCTTTCTACTTCATCCATCTCACCATCTAACCTAGGGTTTTGAGGGATGATCCTCAGTCAAATGGTTCTTCAATGGATTGTAAGAGCTTAAGCTTCAAGGTTATGCCTATGATATTAATTTTTTTTGGTTCAAAGAGCTCTCTCACCTTATTTAGGTCAAGTTTTCCTTAAAGTTGGTGGTGGTATTCATCAAGAAGATTCATAGGTTTATGTGTTTATTTTCATGCATTCTTCAACAAGTTTCATTGAGACTTAAGCTCCACCTTTGAGTGTGATTCAAGACAACATCATTTAAAGGTCTAATGTGATCCATCATGCTCTATTTTGCAAATAAAGTTCAAAATATTCAAGATTGATTCAACAAGTTTGACCTAATTGAGCAAGTGCTTGATTCAGTGATTACAAGTGCATAACTCTCTCAATTTTTAACATTTTGAGTTAGTTATTTTTACTATAGACTCTTATCATCATATACAACAACTTCTCTTCACATGACAATATCCAATTGTGCAAGGAAATTCATCAAAAGTTGAAAGGGGTTACAAGTCATTTTGACACTCTCTGAGCTAGAGTTTGCTGACTTCCAAATACCATTATCTTGCTCAAATTTTGTGATTTTTAAGTGATTCCAAAGATATGATTCTCTTCAAAGTCCTTAATATATTCTATTCAAGGATCAAAGGATAATTTGGCATGAAGGACCATTTAAGTTTGAAGAAGATTACAAGTCCCTTTGAAAAGCCTTTGAATCTTAGGGCTTGACTTCAAATGATCATAACTTGATCATATTTTATCTCCTTGAGCTCATTATTTTTCTATAATAATCTTTGGGATGCCTATTATAACTTTTTTATATATAATACTTGAAAATGCTTGGAAAGTTGTTAAATAATTGAAAAGATTATAGGTTTTTGTGAATTTCCCCAAATTTGTTCATCATCTTCCAAAGATTATAACTCTTTCATTTTTTATGATTCTTGAATGATCTCAATTCAACATTTCAATTCAAGGGTCTGCTTCATTTCATCTTCAATGATTAAGATCAAATTTTTAGTGGAAGGGCATGTAACTTTGAAGAACATTATAAGTCATTTTGAAGTTCAACACTTAGAAATATTTCTAAGTACAAAAGTCAGTTTGTTTTTCACGATTTCAATTGATCACAACTTTCATCCCAGATCACAAAATTCTGCCTTTCTGGGCACATTGTAAAATTTGTTGTGAGATCTTTCAAATGCTCTAAGAATCATCCCATAAAGCCTCCTGAGTTGTGTGCACCATGGCTACAAAGTCAGTACCTTGAAACTAAAGTTTTCCTCCAAAGTCAGATTTTGATTTTCATAATGTGGCTTCTAAACACCAATTTTGTGTGTGTTTTTCACTTAAACATGTTTAACAAACTTGCTCAGACTTGTTTAAGCATCAAAACACAGGAATTGAGTGAGTTTTAACAACTTGCAAGTCACACTTTCTCATTTTCGGGTCACACACAATTTCCCTCCAAACCTCACTATTTCTTCCAACTCTCATTACCGTTCACTCTCCTTAAAATAGAGGGACATATTCCATTTATTTTCTCAAGCTTAGACAACCACAATTACCCTGCCAAAGTCTCACTCGAAACTTGAAATTTGAAAATTCATTTCATAATTTCAAGCCTTCTCACCTCAAATTCTCTTCTGATTCTTCTTTCTCAACTCTTATACAAACTCTCCATTACCTAAATCAAGCAATTCGAGCCATAAATCAAGCTACAGAAGTTCGGTTTCAGAGCAAACCTTTTGAGCTTCGTTCAAGAAGTTTGCTTAACCAAATTGATCCAAACAAGTTACTAATTTATTGTCCTCATTCTTCTGATTCTCATA